AAGCAAACATCACTCCTATTTTCAAGGACAGCTTAGCAAGGAAATGAGAGCTGATCAGCTTTGCCTCATTACCTGGGAACATGATGGAGCAGGGAACTGCTCCTACCCAGGTGCATTTCGCTTTGGTGAACTCCATGGGGTGACTGTCCATTCTCCACCCTGCTTAAGTCCCTCTGAATGGCAGCACAACCCTCTGGTGTATCAGCACTTGCTCAGTCCAGTTTTGCATTCTGCAACACTTCCTGAGGGTGCACTCCATCCCATCAGTCTGGCATGTAATGAAGAAGTTAAATAGTATTTTATTCAGTTTTGACCCCTGGGCTACTCCACTGATGATTGTCCTCCAGCTATATCTCATGGATTTAWGAAGGGAAAATTGTGCCTGACCAGTCTGATAGCACTGCACAAGGAGATGACTGGATCAGTGCTGAGGGGAGATACTGGATCATGTTAATCTSAGATTTGCTAAGGCTTCTGGCACTCCCATAACACCCTCATGAAGAACAGGTCAGGTAAGTGCTCAGTGAGATGGACTGAAAATGGTAAAGTGCTTAGGCTCAAACAGTTGTGCAACAAATGCAGGTGGAGGCCCATCACTGGTGCCCCAAGGTCGATGGTGGGTCCAAAAGTGTTCCATCTCTCTATCACTGACCTGGATGATGAGACAGAACGTACCCTCACCAAGTCTGAAGCCACACAAAACTAGGAAGAGTGGCTGATACACCAGAGGGTTGTGCTGCCATTCACAAGGACCTCAACAGAGCTGAGAACTGGCTAAACAGGAACTTCATGAGGTTTGACGGAATGGAATGTGAAGTCCTGCAGCTGGGGAAGGACAACCCYAGGAACCAGTACAGGCTGAGCAGCTTTGTAGGAATGGACCTGATACTGGAGAATAAGCTGACTGTGAGCCAGCAATGTGCTCTCATGGCTAAAAAGGCCAACAGCCTCCTGGGTGCCTTAGGCAGAGCAATTCCCGCAGGTCAGGAGAGGTGATCCTTCACATTGGCTCAGCCTGGTGAGATCTCCTCTCAGCAGCGTCCAGTGGCAGGACAAGAGGCATTGGGCACTGTGTGAAACACAAGAAATTCAATGGAAATATAACAAAACACATTTCTACTGAATGAATATCAGGCACTGGCACGGGTTATCCAGGAACAGAGGAACCTCCATTCTTGGAGRTACTCATATTCCAGCCAGACGTGATCCTGGGCAACCAGCTCTAGGAGTAAAGGGCTTAGGCAAGATGATCTCCAGAAATGCCTTCCARCCTCAACCACGATGTGATTCTATAAAGCACACGAGGGTTCAGTTTGTTGAGTGGGCTAAATGCATTAGTTCTCATAGATTTCCAAACTCCTAATTTTGGGGGAACAAAGTACATAACACTGAGGAATATGATGCCAAACTGGGAAAACAGGAGGAAGGAACATACTTAWCAGATAACCTCAGAGTGGCAGGACTTGGAAGCTGGCATACATGGACTGAAGTTTTTTTAGCTAGGTCATTTGAGACAATAAAGGGGAGAGAGGGGAGAGTTCTGGAGTAAACTACAGCAGTGCACAAGGACAGCCAAGGAGTTTGGTCTGAGCCGCAAAGTTTTTGCTTATATTATATATGTGTGTACCTGAAACATCCTTCAGGTCATAAGCTATTCCTTATTATGGTCTGTGCAAGAAACTTGTATTAACAAGAGTTTCAGTTGTCTTTGACTTCTTTTCTTTGGCACACGTTGTGTACACACTGACAGTACGTCAGAGCAGCATTACCTGTAGCCCAAGCCCAGCTCTAACAAGTCCACTGCCTCATCTCAGTCCTTTCTGTGCTTCTGCTTCCCCAGCCCCTTGTGCAGAAAGGGAAATGCTCCCTGACAGAGATCTTAAGACTGAGGGATGGATTTGCCACTGCAAGAGAGTCTGCTGTGATAAAAAGCTCCTCAGTGACAGAACAAGGGGAGAGCATCTGTGGAACACACTCATAATCTGCCAACCTGACCTGCAGCTTCACCACAGAAGGGACAGGCTCAAACCTGAGCTCAAACACAGCTGGRATTTTAACCCAAAAGTCTGACTCTGCAGGCAACTTCAGCTTCCAAATGCAAGTATGCATATTCTTGTGAGTCCTTCAGAGATTCAGAGGCACTGGACAAAACCATATGTAAGAGTGTACGTTAGACCTCAACATAGACCAATACGAGCTTGGTAAGGACGAAACACAAAGGATTTCCCCAGACACATTTTTACTGATGGTCTGTAATGTGTTGTTTTGCTGAGACTGTTACAGAAAAACACAAGGTTTCTTGTTTCCTCACATTTTCCTCAGCTGTGGCTAACATGCTRCAGTAAACAGGCTGTACATTCGTGCCAGGATCTACCCTGAAGCTGCAAATATGGGTAAAGGCAGGTATTGGAAAGCAGAGTGTGTGCTATTTCCAGATGCCTGGTGGTGGCAGGTGACCATTGCTGTTAAATGAACATACATATTTATACACATAAATGACAAAAAAAGTGTTTGAGGGAAACCAGCAAATGCGGGAACAAAAGCTAGTGAGGATGATAACTGTAGTGAAATGTCTCTGGAAGCAGATACGACCTTAATGTTTTACCTATGCCATGTTTCACTAAATGTTGCTTGGGCTTTGGAAGAGCTAAGAACCACACAGAAGCCACAGTGGTTCTTCAAGATTAGAGAGGTCCYAGAAGTGCACAGGCAGTCCAKASTTTACCCAGCAGRAGATCACKRGGAYAGCAGCTYTATCATTTCTCCATYCCCTCTCTGTTTCACTCACCTCTCAACAAGATATTTCCTGCTATTTGCCCCTTTGCACTCTTGCTCCTGTCAAGTCAAAACATCATCCATCTTCTGCAAAGAGCTTCTCCCTCACTTAAATTTCTGGCAGCCAGTTTAACTCACTGTTGCTAAACTGACTTAAAGGGGACTCAAAGATGTTACCCTGCATATAAAATTTTAAGTTCAGTATTAAAAATAAAAAGAATCCTTCCGTGACAGATATTCCATCGGGATCAACTCCAGTTCAAATATTTTTTTTTTTTTGAAGCAGTAAAAATACAAATCAAATACAAAGTGCATCTGTAATTGTGCTCTAAATGACAGACTTGAAAATGTAATTAATTTATTTTCTGAAACACTCATCCAGTTCTTGGAAATCCACAGGAAATTTATATGGAATGGGACATCACCAGCTTAAGYAATATCCATTTAAATGGGAATGTTAAGTTTTTGTCTCCAATTCAACTTTTTACAGCTTTGTTTAGATATACCCTCAGCATATGAAGACAACATAATATTCCTACAAAATTAGATATTCTTAGGTTAACATCAGAGAGCCAGAGCAGGTGAGCTATTCAGTGAAGGCAAGGCAGTGGCATTCAGGAGACCAAGACTGGACACACAAAGTACAGCAGATGATCCACCTTTTGAAAATGTGGCAATTTTTTTTTTTTTTAATCACAACACATTCTTCCTCAGAAAAGGGCAATAGCATCCACAGAACTGATTTTGTCTCACAGAAAATGTGCAGAATTAGGGCTTCAAGCAACCATTCACACGTTGCCAATGTTGTCTCAAGTTGTGGTTAAAAGATACAAGTGCCCCCCCTTCTGGCCAACAAGGACTCCCAAAAGTGGCTTTGCAAGACATTTCACGCTAATTTTAAAATGCAGTTTTGGTTACAAAAGTTAATTAGAATTATTAGACTTATTCTAGGATGTAAACTCTCAGTCAAAGCACAGAACTTCCATTAAATTCCAAGATATTCCTACAGTTACTGAAAAAATATTTCCTTTGCTTATGCAATGCCATGTTCCAGACTAAATATCTATCTACCAATTTCTCAAGATATTGAGAAAGTTGCAACAACTCTGAATATTAAGTTATGTCTCAGGACCATAAGTACCCAAGACATGCAAGTGTTTCCTTGCTGAAGAGTGGTGCCAGCTYAGGCCACTGAAAGTGACACACTGGCATTTGTGCCATGCTCAGCCATGGCAGGGGATTGCTGTCACACCCAAACCAGGCTGCTTTAGGTGGCCATTCCCCCTGGCAAGTTGTCCTTCATCTGGTGATCAGTTCCCAGGTAACAGTGATGTGATTATGCCAATGCCTCGATTTATAACTTAGAAGGAAGATGGCTTAAGGGAGGGTCATTGCTGGACTGCAAATATTTTAATGATGACTTTTAAAGTTGCATTTCAAGATAAATCTCATTAAAAAAAAACCCAGATGACCATTTATATGCTATCTGGATAACAGGATCCAGCAAGAGGACAAGAAGCCAAAGAATGACAAGCAAGCACCCTGAGTCTGCAGAGTTGGGTCCTTTCTGTCTACAAGGGCACGTAATAGAGGAAAAAAAACTCTGGCTTTCCTCCTCTCTTTCTAGTTAGAAATTTTTTCAGTTTAGCTCCTATATGTTTTTCCTGATGCTGAAATGACAAATTACAATATATAAAGGGTTTTTTCCCAAGTAACTACTCCTGATACAGTAATAAAGACAGGACAGAAAATGCCTCTGCAAGCAATGTCACCCTTTAGTAGAGCCTCAATGAAAATTCATGGCAGAAATAACCCAGGAAACACTGAAATACACTGCTTACATGTGCTGTTCAGGTATTTGWGTCAATAGCTTTCTGCCTTTTCAAAGGAATACTAGCAAACAAAAGAAAAAAAAGCCCCAAAACTTAATTCTGTGMTGCAAAATTTGATACCAATGAACAAATTACCCCTGGGCTTTGTCCTCAGCACCAACACATTGGGAAGCAGATGAGCTAAATTGCTTAAATGGCAAATCATAGATAAAAATGATGGCTACTCTTGCTAATTCAACACATCTGCAGAGCCAGCCAGTTGCCTGGTACGTGCTCCTTACCACACCTGTATTGTTAATATTGGTGTGCCCCATGAAGTTCTCCCATTTACTTGCCACAACCCCTCTGCATAAAAAAATTAGGTCAACAAAAAGTATAAAAGTTTCAAAATACCTGATTAATTGCCTCTTGCTGAAGCTTTTTTCCAGACTCTGAAAGGGAAAGAAAATAATTAGTTTGTATATCTTTTAAGGAATTTCGTAGTGGACATGCAGAACAGTAAAAAATGAATTCAATAAAATAATAATAAAAATAATAAATGGAATAAAAATCTGTAATTGAGAAACAGAATTTAACATATAGAAATCACTTGAAAGTTTGAAATGGAAATATGTCTAAAATAAAAGAAACACAAGCCTCTCTTATAAAAAAGATGTGATAGAAAGAAGATCGAGATAGGTAGTCAATCTTGCTCTCCTGAAACCCCACAAGAAATTACAACATCCAAAGGGAAAACAACAAATTTCAAATATGTGCTATGAAGCCTCTTAATGTTGCTAGGTGTGCTACGTGACTAAGAGACTGGTAGCATCCAGCTCAGGATTGCACATTGGAGAAGAAATGCAACTTCTGCCATTGCCTTAAAATAAAATTACATGCCTRTGCCAAGGTTGAGGCTCGGCTTCAGCTGGCTCAAGGGAGAAATTCTATCCTGGTAATGTCCACAAAGTGGCAATTTGAATTATGGTCTCATTTCCTTACTCTGGCTTTCTTCATTAACGTCCTTCAATGTGCTGCTGGAGATACAACCAAAACCTGGACAGGTTTTCTACACTGTCTGGGACTCCAGCAGCAAGGACACCTCAAACCTGTTCTTTCCTTTTGGACCAAAAAGGGCAGTAATTTGCCTCATTTGCTGCTCCCATGCATTGGTTGCCAAAAGGGCAGCAGGTATCAGTTTGCTACTGGAGACTGTCCACACGTATTGGGGAAAGTCAGGAATTTCACACTTGCCTATCCAGCTAGGCTACGTGCACCCCGAGGGGTTTTAAAAATAATAATGATAGGACAGGACTTCCAACCTGTCAATATCACTATTAACTGTCAGGGGAGCCTGCCTAGCTCGGGTGRCTGCCACCTCCAGCCCTGGAAATGATACTCAATTTCAACAAAACTCTTCCATACTGATATGTGTGGCACAAACAGAATTTTTAAAATGAGGTGAAAATATTTAAGGTGTTAAAATATAGTACGAAGACTCTACTTAAAGGAAAATGATCCTCTCTATATCCCTGAGACTACTTCTCTCTTCAATGAAAGTGGTATAGGTTATTCAGATGAAGATAATTACTTTAGGCTATATTATAAGATTGTCTCTTATGATAATTACTTCCTGCATGCTTGTGTTTGTTGTGTTTTTATTTGCTAAATATAAAAATCCTTTTTTTTTAGCTAAAAAACTCCACAGAACTATAATTTAGGGGAGACTTCTTAAAATGTATTCCCTTGCTTACTGAGTTTGTCTTTAGGAGAAGTAAGATTTATTCTTGTAACAAATATTTTAGCCATATAGATTTTTGGTAATAGAAGATTAAAGGAGTTTGTGTTTTTAGCATTCTCTAATGATATACAAGTTGCTAGGAAAGCAGAGTGYTTGAAATCTCTGGTTAGATCAACACTATTTTGCTCAAAGGTTTGTGGACTTTGAATACTGATGCTTTCCTGTTTCCCAGTACATTTGTTTTTAGGCTATTTTGATTCACTTTAAAGGAATTTTAATAACTTTCTGTTGACAGCATGGACAGCTGGTCTTGAGAATTAGTGAAAATTCACTTGCTGACTGAGGAAGGAAGTGACATCAATGAGTTTCTAAAGTCAGCCCTGAGGGAAAAGTGTGCTCTGCCAGAGTAGCCTTTCATGCCATTGTATTTCCAGTGATGCCTCAAGATGCAAATTGCATTATCAATCAAACTTGTGGTTTCTACCTCAGAMAAATACAAAAAGAAAAGAACAGAAAGACTGGGAAAGACCTTTACAGCCTTTCCTGACACTGCTAAGAAAAAGGTGAAGGAGAATTTATGTCAGTTCTTTCCTTGTCCTCTCTTCTTTCTTTTGGTGATTTAAATGTCCACTATCAAGGAAAAGGCAGTTGCAGAAGTGGCTGTATGATACAACAGCAATGGTGACATGGGTTAAACCAGACAGAGATTGACTAGGCTGTTACAGATAGAAGAGAGATCAAATTCAAGGTCACCACTAAATTGAATACTGAGTTCTCCATTTATTTGCTAGATGATCCTTGTCCTCATCACAGTGCATTTGGCACAGTCAGCACCTGTGCTCAGAAGGGACCAAGGTCTGCAATAACAGACAGGCTGCAAATCAGGGTGGAAAGAAATTGGCACCATTACCTGGGGAATCCTGCACATCCTGCTGTGTGCTATGCTGTTGTTTCAGGAGAAACATCACAAAAAGCAGTGAAAAAACACGAACAACATCTGCAAGGCTGAAAGGGGGTTCAGTTTCCAGACACCAATTGCTAATAATAGGGCAGGACAAGGCCATTGCAAGTGGCAGAATTTTGTTTGTCCTGCTTTGAGTTTTGTTTGCTTTTTAATTTTTTTAAACTCCCAGAATTGTCTTGTAATGACTAGCTGTTAATCTGTGTTTTATTTTTGCCATCTCAATTTCAAGAAGGATATTTCTGTGCTGGTGCCTTGTGATCCCTTGTGGTCACCATCAACATTCAGCAACAGGATTTAAGAAATGCCACTGGAGAGAGGGCTCCTAGATCAGAGGACATGAGGCAATGGGACACTGACAAAACCAGAATTGTCAGAACATGCCAGTCAGTCCTGTGGGCAACACCTGCATCATGAAATGCAGGTAATACTTGACACTCACAAGAAGTTTCGTTTCTGGTAGATGTACACATGCAAGTATAAAAATGTTGACAGTTTTTCCCAATGAGCTGCAATAAGGTAGCAGCTTATTTAACAACATCAAACTAACTGGGAATGGAAGCTGCCCAGGTGGTAGCCAGCTCCAGATCATACCTTCTACAACATAGACTGCTTGTGAGTGGCTTGCTCTTTCCCTATATTTCTTCAGAAACATCATTTTCCTACCTGCCATCTTGCAAACTATTCCTAAATGGGCTCAATTGTGCCACCTGACCAGCCTTAAAACACAAGCAAATATAAAGGACTTAATCACAGACAATTAACTGATACTTTGTGTTTCAAAAGTTGTATTTACCAATACAAAAGACAATTTCTGTTTGCTGCTGTTGTGCTTTCCTACCACACTAACTGAGGCTAAACTGCTGCAACTGGATTCCAGCGATGTTTTTGCATCAGGACTGGAGAAACACATCCTTCCCAATTAATTTTTAGTGATTTTCTTTCGTCTCTTTAGTTGCAAAAAGTGCAAGGGTCGCTTGACTGGTTAAGATGAATGGCCTTCTTGGGTTGACACCTCAAGCTATATCACTTTAGAAAAAAAATACAACAAACATGGTTTAAAAGATTTCTCTCTATTTTCATACACTAATTAGTATACTAATTCCTGTTCCCAGGGTAAGTTGTTTTTTTTTTTTTCAAATGTTTTCTTTTTTTGGTTGCTTGTCCACGATTAAAAGATTAATTTACTGAGAGGAATAATGTATGTTTTCTAATATAACTGGCAGCTGCGAGACACGAGAGTGGCCCATAATTGCTGCTGTCACGAGGAATGGCAGCACTGACTGCAGCCTTACGCACACAACCTGCACAGAGAACAACACGTAATTATGCACTCTATGCCCTGCTTACCTCCATACAAAGGAATGTGATATTTGTGCAGGTTTACAGATTAATCTGCTGTAATTCCCTTTAATGTTAAACTACTTCCAGCTCAAATATAATTAAGATCACCAGGTACAAAAGATTCAGATTGGAAATATGAGTACACTCCRGCAGAACAAATAACAGCTTGATGCTCGTTTTTATGTTCAAATAGTTGGATACATTAAGGATTTTGACAGCATGTTTGTTCCCTAAGTATGTAGATGAAAAAAACAAAGCTTTGATTTCAAAAGGCAAGACATTACTACTGTATTTAATTAGAGAGAAAAATCCCTTAAGTATGTATATCTGCCAATTTATGTGACGTGACTGCTATAAGACCTAGCAACAAAGGATTTTATTTTTTTCCTTCCAAAAATCAAATCCATATTTATATATACTTCAAGCAACCATCATCGACGTCAAAAAAAAGCTTTAGAATAAAAAGTTTGCCTCCTTGAGACTTCAGAAAATTCTACTAATATTTGTGGCATGGCAGCAAGGCAGGTGGTGAACAKAAATTCTGGGTCTGTCTCTCTGTTCTCAGGTATCTGAGGGTTTCCACACAGACTGGGAATAGAGACCTCAGGGGACAAAAGGGAACCTCAGCCTTGCTCTGAAACAGCCATATTCACTTCAAGTGGGAATGGTGCTTCTACAAAATCAGTTGTGAAGAGGGAATTTGATGCTCTAATATCAATTGAATTTTGTTTTTCTAGTTTGTGACAGAAACACTAATAGCTTCATCTTTTACTTTATGTTTCTAGAAGTAAATATGTATGCAACCTRTTCAGTTATGATCCCCCCCTCTTTGATTACTGGTGTCCTAATCTACCAGCACAGATTCTCAAAAGTATAAGGAAATCAAAGCACTCATTTTTGATAAACTTCTGCAGCAATTTCCCATGGCACCAGAGCCTGGGGAAGAAACACTCAGATTTGTTTTTCAGGCTTATAACAGACAAGGTGTGACACTAACAGATTATCTTCTGTGAAAGCCTGTAACTTGGCACACAAAGATTAAAATATTTAGGGCAGAGCCATACATTTCCTACAAATTATCATCAGAATCTCTGAAGTCTGTAAGCAACACAGCTCTTGCAGATCTGCACAGCATTTCCTCCTCCTTCTAACAAGGAATTCAATAAACAGAAAGTGCTCATTTATAGCATCACTTTCAAAACCTAGTTTAGCTTACTGTTGTACCTCCGTGATAATTATGCAATTGCATATGATTACAGTGGCCTAAAATATATTAATCACATCTTCATGGTATTGCATAATCCTTCTCAGTTGTCACAACGCCAACTCGTAAGTTGCCCTGGCAGAAGGAAACATAAAAAGAAACCCAAGTTGATACTGATTGAAGCAAATGAAGGAAAGTTGGC